ACGTCCTCTATGATACGATCGACTCGGAAGCATATGACCAGGCGCGCAGATTGGTACACGCCCTGCCAAATAACCGCCTCGTATGAGTATGATACTGACCCTTTGCAGTACCCTCAATGGACAGGTCGCCGTGACAAGCGCGGAATCCCCCTCTACCTCTTCGAAATCCGACATCTTGACTCCAAGACCGTATCGCAATACGAAAAAGATTCCGAAACGGCCTTCACTTCCAAAGCGAAAACAGATGGCTCAACGCCCGCCAAACTCTTGCGCTTGTTCGCTCTTTACGAGAACTTGACCCGTTTCGCCCAGCCTCTATGCACACACCTTCCCGACCGCGAACATGCCCACGTGCCAATAACCCTATCAACCAACATCGTCGACGTCTCTGGCGTTTCGCTTCGTCAGTTCTGGAACCTAAAAGCACACATGCAAGCTGCCTCTACCCTCGCAACCGCCCACTACCCCGAGACCCTGGACCGGATCTTCATCATCGGCGCGCCCTACTTCTTTAGCACAGTCTGGGGCTGGATCAAACGCTGGTTCGACCCAATCACCGTCTCCAAGATCTTCATCCTTTCAGCGAACGAGGTTAAGCCAACACTGGAGTCGTTCATCCACCCGCAAAACATTCCAAAGCAATATGGCGGAGAATTAGACTTCAAATGGGGAGATAAGCCCACCCTGGATCCTACTATTCAGAAAGTTGCGGTATGGGAGAAGGGATATAGCGATTTCCCTATCGGGCCGCTTTATTGGACTATGACCGAAGATGGGACAAGGCTGGAGTGTATCGCTTCCGGAACTGTTGATCAGAAAGAACGACGGGACAAGGTGTGCTCCATCCCTGCTACATGGCCGCCTAGGACGGAGACGAAGAAGACGGAAGAGACGGATAAGCCGATTGAAGAAGCCGTGAAAGGACTTTCAATCACCGAAGGAGAGGGCGCCAAAGACAAGGTCGCCGCTGAGATTTCTGAAAAGACTGCTGCTACTGAGGCAACCGGGACAGATGACAGGGCACCGGCTACTGTTGCGGCGTAGGAGTGGCCTGACTATAGAGCTCGGTTTTGATTTTCTGGGTGTTGCTGCTTTTAGGATACTTTCTCTTTCTTTCGGCCCTGGATATCACACGTTAGAGAGAGGGGATACTCTTGTTGGATTCGATTGATACACGGAAGCGGGACATTGCTGTTTGAAGCACGCATACAGTGTTGGTTTTGTATTCATTTTCCAGATATCCATATACCTATATAAATACATTGTTATTTGTTCGTCACAAGTTCGCCATTGCCATGTGTTTGTTGTCCAGTCATTAATATTCGTCGCTCGCTTAGAAAATCTCAGCATCCCATCTAATATAAGCTTCCATCACGTCCAAACGCCCCTCCATTGTTTCCAATATTCATCCGTACCAGCCCAGATAAGGTACAAATCATAACAATCAGACGATCAACCGAACAGAATATATACCCTGCTCCATTAGTATCCCCTGTTCACACGCCACTTTTGTATGCCCTTCTCGAGCTCATCCCAACTTAATCCTTTATTCCCCACCAGCCTCATGGTAACACCCAGGCTCTCGACCTCGAAATTCGGCCTCTCGTCGTCAAAGAACAACATCTCGTTGAAGGGTATTCCCATGCGCTTCCCAATCACCTCGAAGTGTCTGAGTTTTGTCCCTTCGTAAATCTCCAGTCCGCCATCGAAAATCTCTATCGTCTTGCGCCCCTTTGTTCCGCCGCCGCCGCTACTGCCCTTGACTGGAGCGGCTGTTTCGTCCGAAATCCGGTGCTGCAATTGCGCGGGGAGCCGTAGGGTTTTGAGCATCTCGCGACAGAGGTCACCGACGGGGGATTTTGAGGCCACCGCTAGTCGGATCCCTAGATGGGAAAGGAGATTGAGAATGTGCGGCGCATCGGGGAATAAGCTGAAGCGCTCGCCGTTGCGATCTGTCAGGGCGAGATGGTTCGAGTTAGGGACTGACTTGATTGGTGTCGCAACGTGGATGTCTGAGTAGAACGGCCAGAGGGTGTAGTCCAGGTCGAGGACTATGAGCCGTGGGAGAGGCAGGGAATCGCGCGCCCATTCGGGGAGGGCTGCTTGGGATGCGCCGGATAGCTGGGATGACGAGGCTTCGAGGGAGAAGCTGTTTCTGCCTCCTTTCGATAGCTTTTTGGGCATGGCGAGGAATGTGCGCGGCTTTGTGGTGTGTGTCGATGTCAAGGTCGATGATTTCCGGCGCCCAGCCCTACGAATGTCAAAGGCCCGGGGGTTCAACGATGATGCTGCTTCCCCCGCCAATCTCCGCTGGAGCTCGTGGCGTGGCGGACTGGCCCGTGCCACTGCCCGGTTAGCGTTGTGCAGCGGGGCTTTCCCGGGATCCACCAACAGACGCTAAACAGAATAGGACAAGTTCCTGAGAACGACTGGACTGGGACCCGGAACTCGTTGACCGAGACGAACATCAACTTTGAACACGATCCATTGCTTGACGTCGATACAAACTGCTCGGAGCTTTTCCAACCTAACCCCGCGATCGCCTGATCCCGACAATTTGATATGACTTTGGGTTTCACAACATGGACAGCGTGCAGGATTCATACTGGTAGGGCCAACTTTTCCCCTCCCAGCGCCTCCCCAGACAGTCCGTCCGACGCCGAACTTGCCCGTGCATCTCCATTCTCCGGCCTACACATGTATTCATGTTGCACCCTCCTGCCCACCTATCTATACAGCCTGTTCCAATGACCTCATCCAACACGGTCCCATGTAACCGGCCTAATGGATGAATAATTGCCTCATCGAAAATTACCCGGGAATCCACATTCGATATGCCAATCATCAAAAGGTTGTTCCTACTTAAATTAAAACTGCCGTTGACCAATGGCGAGATATTCATCAACTCCCATCCAAAAGTCGAACTAGTCCTGCTTGAATGTCGAACTACCCCACCGCCGGCCCCGCGATTCGTGAACGAACCAACGGACCACAGCATTCCATCCCTTCACGAATTCCAGGATGTCCTGGCAAGTCAAGGTGATTTCCCCCTCTGGCTCAGGATCCACCACGGTCTAGCGTCGCTGGGACGGACATCAGATAAATGTCCCGTCCTCGCCCCTGGACGACTTCGGCCTTAGGACAATATATGTTTCTGTCCATGTTTTAATACCTCGCGCGCCCAGCCTTCTTGAATTGTACTCTGCCCTCGTCCCTACGAGTTTCCCAAGTCCATCCGAAGCTGTCAAATCCTATCGATCACTGTAACACCCAAACAACACCGCCACAATGGGATCCGGACTGCTCACGAACCCCGCCAAGAAGATCAACTTGGTGCGGATCGCCCATGTATACTACAAGCACAAGGATATCGAAAAGGCAAAACAGTTCATGGAGGACTTTGGCTTCGTGGAGACAGCTCAGACTGGAAAAAAGACCTTCTACCGTGGCTACGGAACCGAGCCCTTCGTCCTCGCCGTCGAAGCTTCCCCGAAGACCGAGTTTGGCGGCGCAGCATTTGTGGTCGAGTCGGAGAAGGATCTAGAGCTCGCGTCCAAGTCTCTGCCAACAGAATGCAAAGCCACCGAGGTCTATGACCTAGACACACCTGGCGGAGGACGGGCCGTGACATTCTATGATCCCGTGGACGGCTTCCCTTTCCACCTTGTCCACGGCCAGACTCCGGTCGAGCCAAGGGATCCGGGCTTTCCCACCCTTAAGATCAACTACGTATGTAGCACACCCACCCAACGGACCTCCATTAGATTTGCCACCCCCCTTTACCATAAAGGCATGCTAACCAGTCCCGAAAATGACATCAACAATAGCCAACCGAGAAGAACCGTGGACCCAATGAGTTCCAACGATTCAAGAAACGGCCAGCACCAGTACACAAGCTGGGGCACTTTGGCATGTGCGTGACGGACTTTGCCAAGTGCTACGACTTTTACAGTACCTATTTCAATTTCCATCCCAGCGAGGTACCTACCCCTGAATCACTCAAATAAATCCATTTCATCCCCAAGTCCGCCACTAACCTGACCCCTTTTCCCAAATAAACAGCTAGTCCACAATGACGAGGGCGTAAACAAGACAGTCTTCTTCCGCCTAAACCGCGGCGACGAATTGGTGGACCACCACTGCTTCTTCTTCTTCGAAGGGCCCAAGATGCACGTCCACCATTCGTCTTTCGAGACACACGACTTCGATGCCCAGGTGCTGGGACATGATTGGCTTCGTCACAAGGGGTATGAGAACTGCTGGGGGGTGGGTCGGCATGTCATGGGCAGCCAGATTTTCGACTACTGGTTCGACCCAGCTCGTTTTATCCTCGAGCACTATGTCGATGGGGATCTGTTGGATATGCGGGAGCCAACGCATCATACCAAGGCTGCGCCGGATAATTTGCATGTTTGGGGTGAGTATCCATATTCCCGGGTGATGAGGCGTTTGTGAAATCGAGCTAACGACGATGGTGATTTGAATTAGGTCCCGAGGTCCCTGCTACTTTCTTGCAATAAACGATTAATGAGTCTGTTAACGATAATATGAGTGAGAGAGATCTCGATAGAGTCAGTTTTGAGTAACGCTTTTGCCTGAGCTTCTTCGTTCGATGTCTCGTGGATGTGTTTAACAGTGCATTTTTGGGGCCTTTGGGGGTATGAAGACAAAAGCATCAAAGGGGTGGTCCACAATGAGCCAGAATGGTTTGCGAAGACCGAGATGATGTTGTTCATGTTTTGGGAGTTAGTCCACCTGTTCTTCGTGATAGAATATTGTAATCCAACGCAAGTTCAGATTATCTGACGACGTCTTAGAAAGTGTCCCAAATATCCGTGGTATGGTTGATACTACAAGTCTGACTCATGGCCGAGTCGGCGGCTTGTCCAACATAACGTTAGTCCCGGTAACGCTTTCTCTGACCCAACGCCCCACTCATATAGTAATGAATTCATCCCACCTCCACACCAAAGTCGAGTCAGTAATGACAAGGACAACAAGCGCCGCTGGTCTAGTGGTATGATTCTCGCTTAGGGTCCCAACCCGAGTTCAAACTCAAATTTGAGTTGCGAGAGGTCCCCGGTTCAATCCCGGGGTGGCGCCGATTTTTGTCCATTATCTCTTTCTCTTTTTTGTCGGTCAATCCTTGTTGTGTATGACGGATCTTGTTCGTTGGATCTGGGAAGGAGTCTATGATCAAGCCTTCTCATCCTCTAGTGGGCGGAATCCTTGAGTTCTGGAAGTTGTATAACGTTAGCTCTTTTTACAACAAGGGCTGCCTAAGTCACCCAATTTCAGAAAAAAGTGGCAAGTCTCTTACCATACATATTAACCCGTTCTTGTCGCGGCATTTTTGCAGTCTATTAACTTGGCATGCATGCATGATATGTCTGCTAGTTGCCCTGCTTAATAGGCGAAGTCTAGATATAGGTAGGCATTGCCTAATCCGGTGTGATCAGGCTCTCATATCGGTTGCCTAGCTAGATTTGACCTTCTTTCCTCGAGGGGGTCAATTTATGGTCAATGCCTGCTGAGGAAGAAGTCGCGGCCCAATATGCAGGGTCTGAATGCAATGGAGCCCTCCATGCCACATATAATGACCACATCCATCTCGCCCTTTCCTGTCCTGAAGTGTTCAGGCCTTCCTTCACTACTCAAGCGAAAAGAATTAACTCACCGTGCTTGCATTTCTCCTTCCAACCACCATGCGTCTTCTTTTGGCTCCTGACAACACTCACCTAATCCAAACCAAGGAATTCATTGGCGATGAAATTCCAAAATTGAAATATGCCATCCTCTCGCACACCTGGGGCGCCGAAGCGGAAGAGGTGAGCCTGCAGGAACTCAATGCCCCTTTCGAATCAACCGACGCCAAAGCCGCGGGGTTCGACAAGATCCACAAGGCTTGTCAGAGAGCGAAACGTGACGGCTTGGAATACACATGGGTCGATACATGCTGCATCGACAAGACGAGCAGTGCCGAGTTGACCGAAGCTATCAACTCAATGTACGCATGGTACGCCGGCGCTAAGGTCTGCTACGCCTACTTGAGCGACCTGGACCCCGGTGCCGATCTGGAAACAGCCCTTCCTCAATGCAAGTGGTTTACACGAGGATGGACATTGCAAGAGCTGATAGCCCCGCGCCACGTTATCTTTTTTGACCGGGACTGGAATGAGATTGGGAACAAAAACGAGAATGAGATTGGGAACAAAAACGAGTTGAGCAACCTGCTCTCCCGCATCACCAACATCCCTGTGAAGCTTTTGCACAGCCAGAAACCCTTGGAGCACTACTCAGTTGCGCGACGCATGTCTTGGGCAGCCAGGCGTAAAACGACGCGAATCGAGGACCTCGCCTACTGCCTGTTGGGTATCTTCGAGGTAAACTTAGCTCTGATATACGGCGAGGGAAAGAAGGCCTTCATCCGTCTTCAGGAGGCCATCGTGCAGTCCATCGGCGATCGAAGCATTTTTGCGTGGACGGAGAGACGACCAGACGCCCCTTACCAGCCATTGGTAGGGATATTTGCCGAGGAGCCATGTCAGTTCGCCGACTGTGGAAACATCTTCTGCGCCTTTGAAGACAGTGTATACGGGAACCTCGCCATTACACCGAGGGGTGTTGAGGTCGACGCTGCCCTAGCTGCAGACCCGGAACAGAAGGATGACGCATACCGATGCATATTTAACACTCACTGTACAGATAAGAACCGTCGCGTCGGCATCGCTGTCCGGAAGATCGGTGGTGGTCGTTATGCCAGGTATAAGCCCCACATGAGAGTCACCTTTCCGGACGACAGGTCATTCAGGATCGCTCGTCCCATGCAAGATTTTGCAGAATGCAAATTTGTGGAAACCCTCACACTGGCAACCCGAATTTCCGGGAAGTGGCCGTTTAAGGGAAACAATGCGATTCTCGGAAATAGACAGTGCGCTTTTCGCGTGAACTGGCTGGCTACGACCCCGAGTATAACTCTGCTAAACCTTCGACCGATGCCTCGCAGTCACTGGGACTACCACGACGAAGTGTGGATTTCTTCGACGACAGCTAGCAACGGTTGGTGTGCATTTGTTGCTCATGGCTTCATACCACTCCCAGATGACTGCTACATTCCAATCCATATCTTGGTATCCTGCCATTATTGGTGCTTGGGAGAGCCTCAACTGATTGTGGCCAGCCTTGACGATATGAATCCGGTAATGGCAGCTGTTCTGGAGGCTCAGCTGGACGTCATCGGCTTCGAGAGATCGAGGCATGTGCACAGGCTTCTCCTTCAGGCACTGGGCGGAAAAGTGGACTTTGAACCCCAAACGAGCATCACGGAAAGGAGGGTCCTGATAGACGGTGCAGTGATGAGAGATAAGCATGTGCGGAACTTGCCTGCGGCCAAACAAAATGACGCTGGGATTCGGAAAAGAGTTGAGATCAGTGCCAAGCTTCACAGGGAAAACGATCCAGACATTTGCTCTTACCCTATGTGGCGACTTGACATGAGCTGCAGAGTTAACAGAGAGGACGCACAGGGTTGAAACAAACTCACAAGTATGATAGTAGTATATCAACAACACATCCATGCCCATACTGCCCGTATAAGCCGGGTTTTCTTCTCCATCAGTCTCGTGCTACGCTTGTGGGTGCACTAACAAGGAGTCCGGCAAGAACATCTTGTTCGCTCACAGCGGTCGACAGCCTTTTCCTTGATCAATCAAGCACGATTCCTACATTGCCCTAGTTCGAGCCAATTACCTGTGATCAGGCCGTTTCCTTCTTTAATCGGCTGTATCGACTAGTTACGCATAGCTGTTTGGTAGGTGAGATTCAATGGGAGTTTCTTTCCCAATAATTCGATTCTCTTGAAGCTTGAATCGTTAGGGACAAGGTTAGCTGTGTAGGTGTAGACTCAAGACGTCGAAGGTTGCAAAACTGTACATGACAGGAATTGACAATTGGGTTGTGTTGGCTGGTAGTGATAAGCGAGTGAAGCACAAAGTGGCTAAGGAACGAAAGCTATTGTTGGCCCCTTTGCTAAAAGAATCTCAATGTAGGTGACAGTATAAGTCTTTTCCGTGGACCTCGGTCAATAGACGTTGGAGCAACAGTTGCAAAACAAGAGTCAAATGCGCATGACCGTTGGCTATTTCCAGTCACCCACAGACGTTTCAAAGGCATATTCCGTAAAACTTTATCTGTATAAAAAAGGCGCACACACAGTGCTTTAGCTATGTACTGTACCGGTGGAGTGGAGTGGAAACACGGTGTGTTCTGCAAAGCGGACGGAGGAAGCAATCACCCGAACAGTCGGCCGCTGGGACCCTGGGACCCTAACTTGGGTAAATGGACCGTCCTGAGGGTCTTGTGTTGTTGGCCCTTGAACATGCTGCATTTGCAAGTGGGTGTCCCTTGCGATTCTCTCAGCGTCAAAGAAAATAGTATGGGTTTCAACTGGCCCTTGGGAGAGAGACTTGTAAGTCGCAAATAATTATCCCCCCTACTCCATTCTCATCATACTTTCAGTCATCTACATGTCTCTCGCCGGGTGTCTTGATGCATTTGGACATTCAAGACGATTTTCGTCCGACTAGACTGAAGAAATTGGGTTCCTTGGCTTCATGCTTTGGGCATCAACGGAGATTTCAAGCATCCGGGCTCTCCAACAAGTGGTCTCAACTATGGATAAGCGTCACACATCAGTTAAAAATGGAAAACCCGCCTCTCCGTGCTGATGATGCCAAGTCCCGCCACCATACGTGCAAAGTCTGTCTTCTTCCGTAAAACCGCCGGTTTCCAGAATCATCCCGGAGACCGGGCGAGACAGGCCACATAGCTTGCCTTTTTGTTCCCTGCCTCCCCATTTACAAGTCCATTTGGCCTCCCAAATGCCTAGCTTGTCGGAAGATCTCCGTGGTAAGCGGCCACGGATCCCATGACCCTCATGTAAGGTATGAACGCGGCCGCAGCCTCACCATACTGATTTGTTTCACGATGGGGCCTGTTTCACGATGGGGCCTGTTTCCTTTTGGGGTTTTGTTTCCCTGTTGAAATGGTCAGAAACGTGGAGGCTGTATGTTGATGGACCCTCTTGGGGTTTGGCCTCGGCCTAATGCTCTTTCTCTATGTACTAATGTAGCAGATTATGATCCTTTGAATATACGAGTGTGCGAATATGTATGCGAGACGATATAAATACGGCTTGATACTCATCAAAATCTACACAAGACATCATCAGAAAACCTTCTAGCCACACTAATCGACACCAGAGAGCATCCTATCAAGCTCAGGCTCGAACATCTTCATATTCTGCAACCGGCTTTCAGGTTTCTTTGCCTATCCTGATCTATATCCACACCTTCAGTCCATTTCGGAGCCCGGCTCACGGGGTCAATCATGGCGCCGGTACGTTCACCCCCCTACACAGAGCACCTGGGATCCCCAAATCAACAAAACTAACATGGAATCACAGGAAAACCTTACTGTTGGTCTTCTCGGCTTCGGCCACGCCAATGCCGCCATGGCAGGCTACTTCGCGAGCAAGGGGATCCCTACAATGGTTTGGACGCATCCTCAGCACCCCGGGGCACTCAGGAAGACTCGATAAAACGGGAGAGTATTGAAGGTCTATGGGCTGGTTGACGGCGAAATCCTGATTACGGAAGCAAGAAGTCTACAAGATCTCGTCCGAAACACCAGGTTTATGATACTCAGCACGCGGGTAGATGCCCACTCCTTCTATGTCGACGAGCTCAGAAAGCACAACAGTCTGCTGGGCAAGAGCATGTTGTTCGTCATGACGGGTGCCGGCTTTACTTTGACCTATGGCCGGGACCTCAACTTTCAATACGTCCTTGAATGCAGTACCGCACCCAACACGGCCAAGCTAGACGATAGCGGACCCGCTGCGGCCGTCCATCTCAAATCAATGAAGCTCGAGTTTGAGCTCTCATGGTTCTCCAACGCATCGCAGGACAGGACGTCCGTATCGTTCGACGAGTTCCCGGTCCCTGTCAAACAAACCCTCAACAGCCTGTTCAATGCAAAAATACAGGCCCGCTCGCCACTCAACATAGCCTTTGCGTGTGTCGGCACTGGAGTGCATCTTCCGG